TGGAGTTATGGATTCATCTCCCCTGACAGGAAGGGAGCAAGATCTGACTAAGGAAGAGTGGGTGAGAAGTTAAGCTATAAGGAGCAGGACACACAGATACACCTGTGATACAAAAGGTTTTTCTATAGATTGTGATTTTAGTGTGTTGAATTATTAATTAACCGTTGCATTCTTGCAAAAGTATTTGTGTTATTTTCACAGCTGTGCTTGTAGGGAAGACAATAGTTAGAAGGCAATAAAGGATTTTCAGTGTTCTCATATAGTTTGAGCCTAGGATATATTACATAAATATCTAATACCGTGGGATGCTGTCTTAGCAGTTTTGTTTCCAGAGGAAGCTCCCATGCTAATTACATTTTATTAATGTAGTGAATTAATAATACAATTTTTTTCAATATCACATGATTCGATGGTTTTCATATTACAGCAAACAGTGCAAATGTATTTTCCTCCCCTTCTCTCATGCAAAAATGTTCAGCTGTTATAAAAAGCAGCACAGACCTTTGCAGTAAAGAAATAGTTTGCATTATAGAGCAAAGCTGTAAGTTAACAGGGAAAATACAGCATCACATTTTAACACTGTTAAGATGTCTGAGCAGCACAGTGTATGTGGGAGAGCCTGCGATAGGGAGTGTCTTTGCAGTCTATCATAAGTTGGCTAAAATTGTTTTGTATATTACGTCCATAACTGTGTTTGTATTAGGTCTACCGAGCAAACATACACAGGAGAAAACACCAAGGCATATACAAAAGAGCTGAAGCCATTCCTAATGTACTTCTGTTCTTTCCTGCACTACTGTAAACACAGAAGGTGGTCACTTTGAGTTAGTCATGTCAGCCAGAGAACTGTTCCTGTAACTTTAGGCAACAGGATTAGAATAAAAAAGCATAGCTATTATTTCTTTTTATCATTATTCAAGTTCAAAGATTATTCTAATTCTACTAAGAACATTTTAAAGAAACTTTTATATCATTTGTTTGGTGACTACCTAGTTAAAACGGTTTAACCATGCTAGTGGTAGGGCACATATCGCAGTGCCATTGGCTGAAACCTAATGACTTACATGGTCCCTCTGAGTGACCAATAACTATTGGATGGACTGCCATGAAGCTCTGGCCACTCCCTGACTTTTCCACTAGTACAGCCTCAAAGAGCAGAGGTGTTCCTAATATTCTGAGCCTCTCATGTATGTAGCTGGGGAGGACAAAAATATAGAGACACCTCTGAATATAATATAGTCCAGTACAACACCACCTTTAACTAAGACCTCAATAATAAACATAGAATTGAATTTATACATTTCTGACAATTTCACCAAAAACTGAAACATTTTGAGCTTCACAAACACAGATGTTCAGGTGGAAGTGTTGCATGGAAGTGCATACAACTGTACAGGTGTACCTAATAAAGTGGCTGGTGAGTGTATAGTGTACTTAAAAATTCCACAGTGGAATGTAAAAAGTGTAAATGTAATGTTCTTCTAACGATCCCACAATGCAACACTTCGCGTTTCATCATACGAGAAACTGTATTTATGTGGTTCTGCAGCTGTTAGTGATGACCCAAAATACTGATGATTAGTAAGTGTCTGAAATCTCAGTTTACTGTTCACTACTGAGTGACTTACTTAGCAGTGTACATTATATAGGGAGTAGTGAGTGAGTGAATAAGGAGTGATTTCAGACACAACCTTTGTCTTTTTATGGCCTGTTCTATCTCACAAGCCATGTTTTGTACATTATGAGCTTTAAAATTAAAATAAGCATTTGAAACTGTGCAGTCTGATGAAAACTGGTGGTCTAAGGTGGACGCACAAACACTGTATCAGCATGTCTGTCACTTATTATCATGACCAGGCACCCGCCCACACACGTTCACAGCTCCCCCTTTAAAGCATTTACAGAGATTTCCTCAATCATGAAACTTGATTAAACTGAATGCGAGGTTATAAAGAGCCAATTAACACAGAGCAGATGTGATATTTGGAAATATTATAGGGCATTATACTGATGATATATGAATCTATGGGAGCAAAAAAAACCTCTGTTGACTCTGGCTGGAAAGCTAAAGTATATGCCTCCCACACACCCTTTAAGTATAATGAGCATGAAAGCGCAGTACAAAAGATTTTGATGAGTCCCTACTCAGAGGTTTTCATAAAATGGTCATTAAACAAACAAAGGTGCACAGCTTGGCATACAAACATATGGTGTAAAATAATTGTAATGCAATTACACAGTAGAGAAGTTCTTGCCCAGCTTACACCGTGCTGCCTCTGTGCCCCTTTTCCTTTCTTCTTCCATGAAGAGACCTTATGGAAAACACACAAGCCACGTCAAATTGGACGTGAGGGCAGGAAGAAAATCTGCCTACTTTTATCTGTGTTCCCCCCATCACAAATCTCAGAAGTGCGCCACAGTGTGCTCAAAGCACAGCTCTGAGATAGCCTTGATAAAAACATCACCAAGCCAGGGATTTATTCTGTTTGTTTCATGTTCTCTGATCCGTAAATAAACACCATAACTGACTTCACACCAGTAAAATTGCATTACAGGTCTTTATCCAGTGCAAGCTCAAGGAAGAGAGAGACTCAATTAAATCTTAGCTCCTTATGCTCCTGATACAAGTATTATTTATGAGCTATTGAAGGTCTGAAGCATCATTTATAATTAGTAGTTCTCAATGAAACTATGACAAGAAGTGAAGTTGGCATGAAAATATCCACTGGACTACTGATGAAATCAGGCCTCCGGTGTTTTTGCACCACTGAGATTTTGAAGTGGGCAAACACAGTTATGTTCTGTTACTCCGCTGATTTGAGTCATACTATATTTTCTTTTTCTGGTTAATTTTAAAAAGACCATTTTCGAATTTTCTGTGCATGCTGTGTGTCGCCCCTCTCTCTCTCTTATTTCTTGGTCCTTGCTTGCTCAAGGACATAACATGTAAGGCTTAAAGGACCGCCGGGGGCAAGAGAAGTGGAGCTGGATGTGTGCCACAGCGATGAGGCACAGGACCACAGCAGTGGATCTTTCTGAAGACAATTACAGGAAGAAAAAACTCAAGCCCCATGTCTTGATGAGAATGCAGACTCATGAGGACAGACACATGGCAGAGACAACAGACATCGTGGGCTGTGTTCTAAGCACTTACAGATGTAGATTGAAGGCTATCCTTGCTTGATCAGTTTCTGGCTCTTGCTAAGCTCACGGATAAGACAAAAGGAGGTAAGATTGGATATTCCTCTCAGAAATCCCTGTGAGGCACCTTTCTAAACATAGCTAGTAGCTTCACTTAATGGAGAAGATAGATTTTTTTTAAATAGGAATAAGGGCAAACAGTTTCCCAGTTCTCTAGAGACAGAAAAAAAGATCTTTAGTCTTTATCTTCACTTTACAACAATGACATTTATTCACTTCATTTTAGTAACTCTATTTGACGTCTGGTAGCTCTCTACCCTGATGATATTTCTGCTTTTTCAAACAAAGGGCATAGTCACAATCACACCAGAAGATTTTCCTCCCAAATTATGGCTAACATTATGCTGCGCCGGCATTTTTCTGGCATGGCTCTGATCTTCTCATTTCGTGGAGTGTGGTATCAATTTTCATCACCATTCACACTGAGATGCTGTGTCCTGCTGCTTTATAACACACAATGCTCAATTAGGATCATACTGGGTATGGTTACTGAGAAGGCCTTGGCATATGGCAAACATCATTACCGTACACTTCAATCCAGTGAGTCACCACTCATAATAGAGTCGCTGTCAAATAGGTGAGCCTCAAGGAAGAAGCATCATCAAGGTGTAAGGGTGTACATGTACAATGGACACGTGAGATGCTGTTTGACTTTATGCAAATCATGACCTTTCATTCCGCAGATGGTCAATTTACTCTAGGTGGCTCTTTTATTTGGAATATAACTGATACTGTGCATGAATGACTGTAGGCTTATATATGAATGCAATCAAATAATGAATTGTGGTCTCATGGCAGAAAAGACAAATAAGGTCACTGAATAAGAAAGTTTTTATTGCATTTGACTTGCAGCAGCAAAGTTTAACAGATGTGTTTTAACCTCATAGCATGAACAGGTCATTTTATTTGTTAAAAAACTACGCTGCTAAAGCCAGACGTTATCAGGAGAGAATAATCACAGCAATGGGCAGGATGCGTTTTCTAAATAGCATATCAGGTTGAACCCTTTTCCCACAGGACTAAATGGTTTCATTAGCCAGACCACCAGCTGCCCTCAGATCTGTATGCACTGTGCTGGCTGCAGGGCAGCCAAAGTAAACGCTGCTCTCTTCCTTGTGGCACTAAACACATGATAGAATATCATGTTCACTGAAACTGAAATGTGCTGATTGTTTCAGCAAGAAGTGAGTTAAACAAGAACAAAGTATTTTTTATAACATGAAATGATGCTGTTATTGTTGTGGTGATTTGAGCTATGAAGATCTGTAACTTTCCCTGCAAAATAACCATGGGCTTGAAGACAAGTCAAGAGGTAATAAAGCTGCACCATTGCTTCTGCTGCACAAGAGAATTTGTGTTATGTTGAAATACTCATGAGATAAATGTTATTTAAAGCCAGAACTAAGTATGTTATACAGGTGCAAAGTCACTGAGTCCTGGCTGCACTGGGTCCTTCATAATGTATAAAAGAACATATGAATGATTGATTATTAGCTGAACTGTCAGAGAGGATGACAAAGTTAGATACTGTACATACTGCACATATTCAGACAGTATAGCAGACTGACACCCTCACACAGCAGTGACTCACAGGATGTTACTGCCTTCCCGTTTCTCAGGTAGGATCTGTCCCATATACTTGGCAAAGACACGCTTGGAGACAACCAGTGTGTGGGCTACAGTTTCTGTTCAACTGCTTTATGTCTGGCTGCATATTGTTTGTGAAAAAAACACACGCTTCATTAGTGGAAAGAGCGAACTGGAAGACACATAAACAAGTAGGCTGAAATTGTGCTTACCTCCAAGAAGTAACTGCAGCGTCTGAAGCGCAAGGATATGCAACATGTTTCTTTGAGCCGTCAGAAAAACAAGAATCTCTCCAGAAATTGCATGAAAGCCGAACTGGCTTAATTCAAGGAGAAAATTCTACTTTCAAAATCGATAGTAGAAAAAATAAAAGATGAAAATGCCTCTTTTCCAATAAAAATGCCATGTCTCATCTGGTTTTATGCAAATACTAAGAATTGAAATTGTCAGTGAAAAGCAAATTTGAAAGCATTTTCAGCAGTGTCGTATCTACTTGATTTTGTCAAGGAAAATCAAAATTTGACGATGAACTTGCGTGCAGCTTTGCATCACTCTTTGAAGCATTTTTCGAGGAGAAAACGTTTAGATGCCTTACAAAATCTTTTCAAACTACAATACATTTTCACAATGATTCTCTTCCAAATCAGTGTTATCCAAAACAAAACAACTGAAAATGTACTCAGTGCCTTGTTTGTCTGCCCTGTATCCTCCGCATTACCAGGTTCCTAAAGTTGGTTGCCGCGTCGTGCGTAAAGTCCAACAATCTGGGACGAACAGAAGCAGTTCCCGCTCGGCATCGTGTATGGTGAAGTTTGTAAAAGTAGAGAAGTTCAAGCAGTAACATTGATGAGCATAAATCCACACCCAGACAACCGTAAGGTTTCGTGAAGTCCTGACAGAGCGCAAATCCAGCAGCACGCAGCAGCCTCAGAGGAGCGCACAGACCAATGATCTGGCAGCCAAATGTTCAGCTGCTCAGCTGGACTTTGGCACCAGAAATATTCGGAGAAAGTCAAGCCTTCATCCGTTTATGTTTATGTAGAGAGGGTACAGGCTACAGAGTGAGTGGAGCTTACGCATTGTCAGCCTGTCCAATACGTATTGAGAGAAGCAGAGAGAAAGAAAACCTGCTGTAATGACTGACTACTATTCACAAATATTGGGAGGGCGCGTGTCGTTCCAGGAACCCATTAGAACCGATGGTTGTGAGAGTAAATATTTTTATCAAACATTTTTCAAGCATTGAATTAACATTAAACCCAAATATATCCCAGTTTAAGCCCTGCTTGTTCTCATAACGCGTTTTTTAAAGGCACACGTGTACACCTTTACGAAACACAGCTTCCAGTGAACACCATTGCCGCTGTGCACAAAAATAATGACTTTAAAAGTTGAAATCGGACATGTCCAATGAATTGCATGATTGCGCCACTTTGCAGGCACTGGCGACCCCGTGTGGCGCGGGCACGGGCACTGAGCTAAAAAGCGCTGTGCTGCTCAGATGTAGAGTTAACAGACTGTGAAGAAAATCAGCAATTTGGTGAAAGCACGTTATTGATTTCAAATTGAGTCTGTCATGTTATCCCGAGAGAGACGCATTCAATCACTGCAGCATGTTCAGGTGTGGCTGCAGTGCTCACCAGTGAGTTTCTATGGCCTTTGTTGCATTTTCAGACAGTTTCCACTAGGTTATCTGGTCTGTGGATTAAACCGTGAACAAAACAGCACATTCATTTTCTGCACAGACCAGATGGTGTTGTTAACTAAAGATAAAGAAAGATGCATGAGCACTAAATACAGAACAATCACAGGGGTCTCCCATAGTCTACTGTTTTTTTTTTCCTGAGGATTTGTTTCACTATGCTGCTTGTCTGCCTATGCTGTGCAAAGTTAGAACTTAGTCCAAGAGAAAGAAATAGCAATGTCATTTTGAGACTGAAGTGATGTTATTAATAGAAAGGCAAAGAGAAAGAAAATCACCCAGAACACTACTTACACTCACAAAGACGGAGTGTATAGATACCACTCTGGTTGGCTGTGAAGAGATTTACAAATGTAAGAAGGAATTTGAAACATCTTTTTGGTAGTTTCAGCTGCTACATATGTCCCAATTTTGAGGCCTCATTTCTTCCATCCATCCATCCATTTTCCTCCGCTTATCCGGGACCGGGTCGCGGGGGCAGCAGTCTAAGCAAAGATCCCCAGACTTCCCTCTCTCCAGACACTTCCTCCAGCTCCTCCGGGGGAATGCTGAGGTGTTCCCAGGCCAGTCAAGAGACATAGTCCCTCCAGCGTATCCTGGGTCTTCCTGTTTACTTCAAATTTCATTTTTCTTTTTAAGGATGCAAGTTTTTAGTTCCTCTGGAGTGTGTGCAGTTTGACCCTTGAATCAAACCTTCTCTTGTACAGCTGCAAAAAGTATTAAAGGCAACAAGACAAAAGCGTTGAAGGTCTGGAATCTCACTCACACAAAAGCTGGGAGCCCTCCAAACATAGCCTCCTCCAAAGCCCAACACTCACTCAATTCCCATGAATCCTGCACTACACTGAGGTCCATTGAACCGCTGGAAAGCAGAAAGGGCACCAGACAGAGCTGCAGTGGCTTAGGTTACATTGTCTGTAGCTGCGAGTCATTAAAAAGGTAGCTGAACTCCCAGTTCTGCACATGGTAAGTCCATTTCCTGGGTTAAATTACTGAGACACTGCTGCTGTAAAAACTCACACGCCACCCATCTCCCTCTGAAAGATGATAAGAGACATTAGATTAAATAGGAAAGTTTTAAAAGCAGGTAGAGAATTTCAATATTTAAATTGATACCTAGGAGGCAAAAATACATGCGATTATGTCTCGTCAGATGTGACGTTTAGATCTGCAGACCTCTCTGAGGACAGGTCGTAAGACTTTGATGTGTGGTGAAAGGTCTCAAGGCTTTGATGTCTTAAAAAAGATCTGGAAACTTTCATGCTTTGAAAATAGAGTGAAGACTGAAATGTATTTTAGATATCAGTGCCTGGATGTGACAAAACTTTTTACAGCTCAGCCAGGATGAAACTGAAATTTTAATTGTAGGCACTAAAGCTCAGACAAAGAAACTGGACACTAAATTAAATAATCTAGTACTTACCCTGAACCAGCAGGAAAGAAACCTTCATGTCATCTTTGACTCAGAACTGGACTTTAAGGCTCATGTGGTGTTTGTCACTAAATCTGCTTTTTTCTAGACTGCAGCAGACTGGACTGTCATGCTCTCCCACCTGGTCTGTCCAAAAAACTTCCCTTGTTAGACTTGATTCAGAGCTGAGTACTGACCAGGACCAGAAGAGAACTACATTACATCTGAATTAAAGTCTTTACACCGGTTGCCTGTGGTTCTGTATTGATTTTTAAACTCTTTTACTTGTTTTTATTGTATTCCTGTTTTTCTCTCTGTGGTGTTTTTTTTTTCTAGTTTTATTCCCCATATTTCCTTAAATTTGTCATGTGTTTTAGTTTCATTGTTTCAGATTGTTTTTAATATTTTCATATTGTTTTCAAGTTTTCTGTCAAGAATAATATAAATATAATATAATATAACATGACAGACCACCAAATGGGTAAGCAGAAGCACACTGTTTTTGAACTTTCCCACTGGCACCCTATGACCTTCTGTAGGTCCCTTGGGGTACATACTCTCCTATCCTCTATACATAATGAATCATCTCTTCTGTTTTCTTTTGGGTGGTATCCTTCATCCATGAGCTCAACCGGCTTCAGCAGCTTGTCCTCCAGTCAGTTGGTAGACAGGAGGCCCAAATTCATCACTACCTTTCATTTTCCTCCCCTGGCCTATCTGATCTATGATAGCATTAATAATAACCGTTGCAGAATGCCCTGTCGCCCTCTGTGCCTTGCCCACTCCCGGCCCGTGCAGATTACCACCAGCCATTCACAGCCCATTAAAACTGTATTTACTTATCAGCCTCTCTGGGGCTTTCACTCTGATTTCAAGACGGATACCCAGAGGGGAGGCAAAAAGTGACCTTGCTATAGCCTTGGTGCTGTCTAGTCCCAAATGCTTTGTCCTTTATTTTATTGCTTAAAAGAATGAAAGTAATGTACTGTAAGTGCCCTTCAACAAAAGACGTAACCACTTTAATAACTCTGTAAAGAAAATGACAAAAATCGGATGTTTGTTTGAAAAGACTAACACCACTCGTATCGGTCTGTTAAATACGAAGCTGCAAACAGCAGCTGGTTAGATTAGCTTAACACAAAGACCGGCAGGAGGGGGCCTTTGTCAGCTTTTCTCAGTCCAGTAGTTACACAATCTGCCTACCAGCGATTAACACATTGCATTTTGTTTGTTTTACTTGTACAAAAACTAAAATGTAAACTGTAACATTTTATCACACTATTGGGTGAAACAGTAACTTCATGGAGTCAGCTGGTTGCCTTGTGACCAAAGTGTCAAACTATCCTTTTAAATGGATCACGTGACTGCTTGTGTGTAAAAGGGGTCAGTCAGTGTGATGAACCCACAGACAATCATATCCCTACTCTGCAGTTCCTCTCAGCTCTGCACTGCATTTTAGCTACTGAACACTTAACAACTGAAGGTAGATATGTTTCACAGGATTTAGAGGAGACAATAAAGAAATCTAAAAAAATAGTGAATGCTAGACACATATTCTCCTGGTCACCACATAAATAAATCCAAAGGGGGGCTCATTTATGTAAATATCTAAATGTTTGCTAGCATGTTAGCCATGGCAAGTTCATGTGTCATCATGTCAGTGTTTTCTGCTCCAAGTGACTAGAAATTAACTTTTTGCAAAGTCAGTGTGTAATAAACCATTGCTATGTTGTAGATGTTGCATTGCAGATGTTTTTTGATGTATTACTTGTTGAAATACTTCAAAATGAATGTTACAATGCTAAAAAGCCATAATGATCACACAATTGTTACTTCAGTGCATTATTCTATTTGCCTAAAAGTATGTGAGCTCAAGAAAAGAGTTTCCTAAAGTTGTGGCTGGGTTGATGATATGTTTGCCGTTATATTTGACTGACAGTTTTGCAATCAAGATAGCATAAATGGTACAAAGTGAACTTTCCTCATTCTTATAGAGACAGTTTTTTTCTTATCACCTAGGGTGTGTCATGGTTTTCTCTGTGTGTGCTTAACTTTCCCTGACCTTTAAATGGACTGATTATTTCCATCCACAATCTTCACTCAGAAGTACGCTGCCAGCACAAAAAGGATATTAGGCCCAGACCTGCTGGCCTGATAATTCTAGCTCTCGGTACGAAACTAAGGGAGTTCAAACCACGCTGCCCTGGCACTCTATTGTCATTTCACTGCTTCCAACTTTTACCTCAGTCTGCAAGAACTCATGATGTGTGTTCTGTTTTACTACATCCTAAAAGTAGCTTGTATCTACAGTAATTAACTTCTCCTTTATGCATCACCCTCCTGGGACAAATTACACAGAGCTGCATAGGCCAGAATACTCTGTGGCTATGTAAATCTCCTCAATGTTGAGAGACTCCCATGCCTCCAGCTCCCCTGACAGCACTCTTTGATAAAAAGTAGACAGAATTCAGAAGGGGGCAACTAGTATAAATGTTTAATAAAGTCTTATTTTACTTGTGGTAATCTCATAATCAGAGGTTTGAGGTTGGGGGGGTCACATATATCACCCAGGGACTAAATGAAAGTCTTATTGTACCCTGCTACCTTTCACCGCAGGAGGAAATGTGAACCAGATAAATGATGGCCTTGTTTCAAAGGAAGCTCAATCTGTTGCCAACAATTTGTGGCCAACAAAGTAATTTTGATTCCGTTCTTTGTATTGATAGATGGGGCCTAAATTTAATAAAGACCCAATTTACTTGTAAGGGGCATAGGAATGGAACTGGTCTTATCTTTTCTCTTTCTTTCCTCTTTGCCTTCATCCTGCTCAAAATTAGATGGCAGCTACGTTCTTAACTACTGCCATTAATCTTCAGTATTTATAATCCCAGTTAGTTGTTTAATCAAATATGGTATTCATTTTAAACCACAAATGTCTGTAAGTTCGTCAGTTCATTTTTTTTTTTGTTAGTTGGGTTGGATTTTAATTTTAATTTTAAGGGTTGGGTTGGTAAGGTTTTTTTTAAATTGACTGATTTCAAATAAATACATTAAATGCACATAAAAACACAAATCCATCATCTCTGGTAGTAGCAGGACTGAAAAAACATGGGCCAATAATTTTACTTGGCACAAGCAAAACCATGGGATGGTCTACCTGCCTGTCAGCCTACTTCCTATTGCATGCACCCTGTCCTTGCACTAGCCAAGAATCTCCTGGCCAGGCAGGCAGAGGTGTTACCACTCTGTTTCACAGCTAAAGTTAGTGAGCTATGGCAGAGGAGGTTTCATTCACAAATGGAGGTTGTTGTTATAGGCCAGGCCTTCCACTTTGAGACATACGGCCTTATAGGCAATGCTGTTTTTTCTGCTGCCAGAAGCTGTGACCTGCATGCAGTGTGCAGACAAGTAATAGTTACTCAAAGCATTTGTGAGAGTGAAGTTTTGATGACCACAGGACCTTGAAATTCAACACTTTGTGAACATCACTACACTTGCTGTGCCATAGTACAATAAATAAACCTCCTCAAGAACTGGCATTAATGCTGTTTCTGAGTCCTGCAGGAGCCCTGCAGCTGAAGTAGGTTTTTTTTCCATGACCAAACACTGGATGTTCCATGCCACCTGCTGTTGCTGTTGTTTGACAAGAAACTGTATGCTCTTGTGACCACATGGTGGTAACAGTGCAAATTAACTTTCAAGTGGGATAAAGAGATTGTCTGCTTCACCAGGGAACCCCAACAGGTGTGTGCACAAAGACATAAGAACTTATCATGAAGAGATTTGTAAAAGGAGAATTAACATCGGTTATTCATGAGCATATGGCTTGAAAACCGAGGGTAAACTGAGTGTGTTTGGAAAATATCAAAAGAGACTTGAGCCACATTAGAGGGATTCTTAGCAAGCTGCCTCCGTTCAGGGAGCACTGCTTTATTGATCAAGTGACTTGAATGTGAAAATAATAATTGTCTTGAAAGTGACCAAATTTGAATTAATCAGACCTTGATTAAAGTCCTGCATTCTGTTTTCCACTCCACAGCTCTCAGTAGGCAAGTGGATTCTCCCTGTTAGTTTGCATTTCTGCCCATGTCTACACTTACATGATGGCTTATGTATGATTTCATTATTTGCAAGACTGTGCACTCATCCATGTACTGTATAATAACACATGGGCAATTGATTCCAGGCTGTAGACTGTACTCCTGTGCTGCCACCTAAAGACAGTTTGAACCATTTTTGGTCAGTTATTATGCAGCAAACCTACCTATAATGCACAGTCAGTCTTCAAATTCTGAAGTTATCCTGATTGATTTGTTTATTTATTTTAACACATCTTACAGAACAGAATCTTTAGTTGTCACACGTTATTAGTACGCTCCAGGTCCAGTATGGGCTTCCTAAAAAGTGAAACTTTATAGCTGTAACAGCTGTAAAGTGAAAATGCAGTCAGTTTAAAAACGTTCTTTTTGTCTTGGCAGCCCCTGTGTCTTCGTGTTCAAACACACCATGCAAACATCCCATATTAAACACATCACAATTCATCATTCAAACAAGTGCTTCATTTATTTTACTGGTGGTGCTACACTAATGTGTCTTCCTCAGCAGATCATTTGCATTATTTTCCAAAACATGATACAATATGTCAGCAATGCATATGTTGTGTTAAAATGCACTGTCATTAACATATATTAATATTCAAAATTAGATGCACAGATGTGTTAAAAATGACGTTTTGTAAGAGATCATCCCTCAACAGTTCTCAAAGCGAGCCATCTGTCACCAAAGCCAGACATGGCAGGGGTTTGTTTGCTGAACAGGACAAAGGCAACTGCTAGCAACCAGATGCTGCCACCATAATGGAGTAGTTGTCAAAAAAATCTGAAAGCTGCTGTCTTAGACTAATGTGCCATATGGACAAATGCAATTGCTGTGTTGGTGGCAAAATATTTTGTCTGTTGCATTTTTCCACTAAGAAGTCTGAACTAAAAATGCCTAATGCTATTTAAACGCATTGAATGCCATTCAATTATCTCTGTGAGTGAACTGGAGATAATTAAGAAATACGATGCTGTGGTTTGGTAAATACAAGACAGAGCATGTCAAATATCGTAAATTAATGCTCCACTGCACCACAAGCAGTTTCACATAAAAAACAATTTCACACATGAGAACACATACAATAGCAACACTAAGGCCATAGTAAAGAAGAGGAAAGGTACACAGGCCATACCATATACAAAACATATAACACCACGTTCCACCTCAAGTCAAGAATTATGCAAAGCAGCAACATGTTTCCTACAGACTGGTTTGTATTCAGAGGGGAGTGTTTCTAAGGTAATGGCATTTTGAAGCTCATTCTATGCCCAGGGTGCAAAAAAAGAGCCATTTTACCGATCTCTGAGTGCGCTCTGGGGACATTTAAAAGAGTCTGAACAATAGATCTAATGCTGTAGTTGCTGGTATGACAGAATTAAAGGTTGGAGATATAAGTAGGTCATTTACCTAATAATGTCTTGGCAATAAATAGCAACATTAGTATTTTTCTCCTCTGATATAGAGAGGACTATCCTAAAGACTCATGTAAAATGCAATGGTAAGTGTGAGCCTGCATTTGTTAGCATAATGCAGCAACATGCAGTCCTGTTTTTTTATGTTTGTTTGTTTGTTTAAGCAGGGATGCAGTTACATGCATGTAAATTACATCACCACAGTCTAAAGATAAAAATTGATAAAAATGAGCTGGAAAGCACAACTTTTTTTTTTCTTTTTTCGGCCTCAGAAGATTATAACTATACACATTAAAAGCCAACATTTCATCAAGTCATATGCTTAGATTTTTTTGTTTAAGAAAGAACTCATTCTATACATATACCATTTACCTTCTCATAGGTTTGGCGGCCTTAGAGCCAGAATCAAGTGAAGCTCATATATTTGATCTTGTTTGAATTAAAGACCAATTTTAATTTTGATTGTGTCATCAGCATGCTAATGTATATTCACTGCATTTATTCCATGACCTAAATCTTTTATAAAAACGATGAACAAGATAGGGGCTAAAATAGATGCCTGCTGGACAGCTTTATTCTTTATTCCTTATTGTAACACAACATTTAACACATATACAAAATTCTCAATGAAAACATATTCACATCAATAAAATCAACTAAAAACTAAACTACAACATTCATTTACATTCCAACAAAGTCTTTCAAATCAGTCACTTATTGTTAGGATTATTTTTAAAACTTGCCTTACAGGGTGCTTCAATCATTACAGATAACTTATTCCACTGTGATGGCTCTATACATTACAGATCTGCACATGGCATCTGTTTTAGGTTGTTTTTTTAACCAAACAACCCCTACTAGCTCACCTAGTATTATAATAATGTTGATCTCTTAAATAATTTAATTGTGAGTACAAACAATTTGGTCGTTTACTATAACATATATTCCTAAAGAAACTCAATAAATTGCATGCCAGCCTGTCCTTTACTCTGAGCCATGAGAGACTCGCATGCATTCCGCCTGTACTTTGCCTCATTCCTAACAGACGGGTCAGTGGGACCCTTGCAGCTTTATTCTTAGTTGTTTGAAGCTTAAATGGTACTTTTTTTCGCAGTACCTGGCCAAACTGCAAAGCGGTAATCAAACTTTATTTAGTGTAAGTGAGGTGAGGTATTTCCCCCTGAGACACAATGAGCTCTTTGAGATGGATAATGGAAAATAATTCACTATGCAGCTAAGCCTGTGATATCAGATTTTGATCTACAGAGTCAGACGTTTTAGACAAATCGGGATTAACACCTCCGATTTAGGTTGTAAATTGGACACATCTTGCTTAGAGTAAAGATGGAGCGTAAAGAGGAACGTTGTTACACTTGTGCTTTAAAGGGGACCGAAAACAGCGTCGGACTAGTGTGGGCGTGGCGAAAGCTTCCTGGTTTGACAGAAAACGACTAGTGTGAGTATCAGAATGAGTTTGTTATAGTCTGCTTTTTAAACGTCATTTAATAAGTCGCATTTTATCTGATAAATGATAAATCTATCCAGAAACGACAGCGTTTGTTGTGGCGTTTACCTTCTAGCTAACAATAGCCTATTCTTTTAGAACATACATTCTTGTTTAAGTTAGCAAACGTCGCATTTAGCGTGCTAACAGTTAATCTGCAGAATAAAGTCGAGCTTTGTCACGTAAACAGAATGTACATTAAGAATAAATGGATTAGGGTAGCTAATAAATTATTCTACAAAGCGTCTACATTAGCAACGTATGGTGAAGTGACACCCTTTTCAAATGATGCTTGACAGATGAAGTAAAGTCACACCGTGACTATAAGTTGGACACTTGTTTTGTTGTTTAGGTATTGACTTTACAGTTCCGAGTATTGTTGAGAGCGGAGGAGCCATGCCTTTCCTCCACGGGTTTCGAAGGATCATCTATGAGTATCAGCCGCTGGTGGATGCTATCATGTGCGTTGTTGGACTGGAGGAAGAACATGGTAGTCGGGAAAGGTAAAGCCGAAGCCACAAATATTGTTTAGTTATTTACAGCATTAACAAATTTTCTGTTACAGAGGGATAATACTAAAGCTTTTCATTTGATTCGTGGCAAGGACAAAGTACGTTTAGCTAAATATTAATCTAAATCTTGTTCATGTTTAATTTTCAGTAGTAGAAGCACTTTGTAGCAGTATGGTCGCATTTAATACTGTTTAGATATAACAGTGCTTTTTGTGCTCTTGCATGTACAGTAGAGTCAAAAACCCAGAGGACGAGTCTGGTCTGTGTAGACCTCTAGTGGAGCTTCTGGAGCGGGAAACCCAGTCTGAAGTGTTCTTGGAGGGCATCAGCTATGCAGTGTTTAAAGTGGCAGAGCGGGGTCTGATATATGCAGCTGAAATCCTTCTGCGCTATGGAGCTGACGTAAACTTTGAAGGTGACAAATCATTTGGGAATTTGCTTTAAATATCACTCTTTTTAATTGACATTGTACAAACTTATTGCAGAATTACAGAGTTGTTTAAAAGGCAATAGACCATCTAGTAACATTGGTTATTTTACTAATATCCCATAAGGCATCATTTATAATGTAGTACTGTTGCTGAGATGGCTCAAACAAATTCAAAGGAATTTTAGTGTGAGCAGTTAATGTTGATGATTTCAAACACATTTTGTCCTCAATTTATGTGCAGCACAGTCACTAAAAACATGGTGTTCTGAATTCTACTAGTATCTAGTACCTGGTTTTGCAGCATTTGGAGTGACCAGGCATGTAAAAACAGTAAACAGACTGGGATGTTTCAGACAGATGCTGGCATCTAGGACCCTGGCATGTTACCCTTACTGACACCAGTGTGAGGAAAAATGGGTTTTTTACTTAAAAAATTAATTTAAGCTGTTTTTCTGGTACAGCTTCAGTGCTAACACCCAATTCTAAGATGAGGTTTGAATGGAAGCCAAATTATAGCTCAAACACCAGATTATTAAATAGACATTTAAAAGAAAATGTCATTTTGGGGACACCAAGGGAACAATATAATGGCACACACAGTAGGTTTCAAAATGATGAGGTCCACACTCTACATTAGCTCACTGTCATATTGGCTCACTAATCGTAGCTAATTACTAATTTGCTGTGTGTTAAGTGTGGAAGGTCACTAGTTGTCTAGCATCCACCTTGTCTCAAATGTTTGCATGTGATGATGTTTCTTTCCTGGTAAGAATATAGAAAGCAGACTTGCCATGTTCCTGCTTTACACAAGTACATGAATATGTATGATGAAGTCGATCACTGTTCCCTTCAGCGAAATGCAGTAGCAAATGAAGCGCATGTGTGATGAAGCCTTCCAGGGCTCAGTCAAACCCAGCTGTGGTGACCTCCAGTGGAAGTAAAACTCTCTTTCCCCAGGGATGTAATTAGGAGATCCCTGCAGAGGCAGTTTCATTTATCTTTCACTTTTCTTGAATGCCTCTTACCAGAAAGTTAACACTGAGAAGTGTTCCCACATAGCATACAAAATGTCTCTTCATTCGTTTTCAAGTATTTACCCACATGTTTAAACATGTGTTCCTATAAACCTTTCTGTAGTTCTATAGCTCAGAACCCTTGAATTGGTGGTATTTTGTAGTGTTTCTCTTATTGCTTGTGTTCTGTATTTGTTTTTTGCTTCTGTGTGTACATGCACTTTATGTGCTGTCATATTAATAAAGAGGTTTTCCCAGTTTAGCATGTGTTTTATAAGATGCTTTGCATACACATTTACCTTTCATCTCTGTGACAAAGATTCGGTGTGTTTAATATGCACATTTGTTTTTCTCTCTGCAGACCCAGTGTCATACTACAATCCACTACATATAGCAGTTTTGAGGAGCAGGCCAAACATGGTGAGACTGCTGGTCGAGCATGGAGCAGACATAGAGAAGAGGGACAGGGTGAGGCAACTGTCACTCTCTTGTTGTCACTGAGCTTGCTCTGATTGTTCTATGACTCTTGTGAATGTGTACCTGCCTGTCACTTGGTAGATTCATGAGAGCAGTCCCTTGGATCTTGCCAGTGAGGAGTCAGAGAGGCTTGCCTGCCTGCTCACCCTGCTGGACCTGGGTGCTGACGTCAATGCAAGGGATAAACATGGTAAATCTACATTGCCCAGCTTCCTCCCAGAATGTCCATCCATTCATTTATTCTGAAATGTCGCTGCTTTGGTCTTGTCTCAAAAGGAAAAACACCTTTGCTCCATGCCTTGGCGAGCAGCGATGGACTTACTGTGCACAACAGAGAGAACATCCAGCTTCTACTTCAGAGAGGTACTGATGGTGAAACACCCTCCCCTCCATCTTCACTTTGCCTTCTTGTCCACTGATGGTCATTCAAATACATTCTCACACAGGATCACAGTTGAGTCACTACATTCCAAAACTTGTATTAGTATGCATACCACCTCCACCTTTTATGTATTTTGAGATCAAAGTAAACTATCAATGGTTGTCAGGCTCAGATATACACTCTCAGTTCTTAACGCAACTGAAACTAGAGCAGAACCAATGCTGCGATCCCAGCATGACGAAACCGACTGGCAAGATTTTAAACTGCATGATGCTGAAGACTCCAAATATGTCCTGGCATCATTAGTCTACTCAGTGTACCTGTAGCTTTATATACAGTTTGACTGCATGGGGCCTTCATGTAGATTTTGTTTCATAGCCTTGTCTCGTTCAGGTATTTAAAACCAGGGTACTCTAACCCCGGAAAAGCTGCACAGAAGCCAAAAAGATTCATATTAACTACAAAAAAGATGTCACATGCAGGAAAGGTGCATGCTGTCAGAGCTGAGTCCCAGACACTCGGAAATGGTCATCAGATCTTTTTTTATTTATTTTTACCAAACTCATTTTTATGGGGGTATATTCTTAAAGGATTTTTATGTACATTAAAATGCTCCAGCAAAGCAGCTTCTATATGGCCAGAAAGAACCAGTTTGTCTTATGATCAGTATGATAAGAAAGCCAGATCTAAGATGGGCCAAGTATTGTGGTGAGTTTGTATATCCTCCTACACCATACATCTGTTAGAGTGGTAGACTTGCAGTAAAAGGAAAGGATAATTCTTCTGAGAAAAGTCTGACTTATAATTCATGAGGAAGACTTAGGAATCACACTTCATGCCATGTGAAGTACTAGTCAAGTTGTATAGTGTCTTCTGAGGCTCTGGAGGAGCCTTTTCATGTCCGAGGACCTATCGTGTCATAGTGACATCATCGGGCATATTTCCTGGCTTGATGATTTAAAATTTATAATGAAAAGCCTGCATCACAAACTTGGGTTGTGGAGTTGAAAGGCATGGTGCACGTACCAGCCAGAGAGGGACCAGTGAAAGATGCTGTTGAGTTGCATTATGGGAAATTTGGGATCCATAGAGATTTATAGAGCATACAAGGCACTAAAAATTAGAAAGCACAATACTAAACCACTGGCATCACACTTTAATGTAAGCATCAATGGCTCATTTAAAAAGCTGCAACCAGTAAATGCTCACTAGGTTTATAAATGACCTAAACATTTACTCACCTGTCTCAAGTGTCATTGATAAATATTGTATATTGACAAATTTGCTTTTTATTTCAGTGACATTAAGATGTGCATATAACAGTAGTTATCTGCTTTAGGTTTAATTGCCAATGTGCTTCTGAGTGATGCTTTCTTCACCACAGGTGCTGATGTAAATGCTGCTACTGTAGATGGCGAAACAGTTGAGTCCTCGTTGGTGTTTCTGGTTAAGGAGGCTCTGGAAGCCAGTGCGGATGATGCTGCTGAGATCGGTAAATTCTGCTTGAAAACCACACAGCTGCTGCTGGCCCATGGCATGGACCCCAGCTGCTGTCTGAATGAGAATGGCGAGCCCTGCCTGACACAGACCAGCCTGGAGCACTTTGACCTGCTCTTCCCTCTGGCTGTACTCTTAATCCAGAGTGGAGCCTCTTTGTCCTGCACCTATCACGTCAATTACTGTTGGTCAGGTTATAGCCTGCTTTTCCAGCGCCTCCAAACAGCCCTGCAGCAATGCTCTGATCCAAGTCACACATCTGAGCTCCTGGAGCAGGCTGAGGTGTTGCTTGACTTAGCGAGGGTAAATGTCCCCACGCTGTTTCTCCCTCCAAGGCCTGAGCTCCCTGTGCCAGGTCAGGATCCTCACCCATATGCTCAGGCTCTGGTAGACCTGCACAACCGGGCCATAGAGCATGGTGCAAGCCCTCCTGCTCTGCGATGCCTCTGTAGGGCATTCATAAGGAGCCACCTACAGCCTTGGCCCCTGGAGAACAAAGTTAAAGCCTTGCCTTTACCAGACAGACTAAAAGACTTTCTTCTTCCTGAGCAGACGTACATCCCAAAGCCTGGCTGGGACCACTTCAAGCCTCAGCAGAGCCAGCGCTGATGATATTGGCTTTTGGCTAGTTTTTCTTTTGTCTACACGAAAGACTGGGCAGCCCCATAATAATACGTATAAAATGTCTGAGCATCTGTCTATAAATGAACTTGGACCTAACAAATCAGTGAGGCCTTTGTTGAATTCTTGTTCTATGTTGTTATGCTATAAATACAGGCAAATTTGTGTATGTTTGCTCAAAGATACAGTGGGTACAAATTCGCCTTTGACTTGTAAATAAGTTGTCACTGTGATTAAATTGTTCTACAGTTGAGTGAACCGTACTGTGTAATCTAAGTTGCAGTACAACATACGAGCCACCAGATGGCAGTGTTGCTCCTGCATCACAAACGCAGCTCAGACATCGGGGTCAAAGATGCAGTTATTCACTGTGCAGCCTATTAAAGTTGTTCCAGCCCAGTAGGGTCCATCTATATTTTATCATCAATGTAATGATGTTATACTGTGGGATTTGTGTATCTTTTTGCTTAAGATGACCGTGGACCAATAAAACAGTTTATGTTTCATCATACTTAATATTTTAGTAAAAACAGGATGAGTTTATAGTTGTCAGTTTTTTTTTTCTAATTTAAATTATTTATTTATTTAACTGCCCAGGTAGTGGCAGTACAGCACTGAATATGAATAGTTACTGTCAGCAGCCACTTGTTATAGGAGAATAATTCATGTTATGCATTTACCTCATGTTCATACACCAAACAGACAGATGCTAAAAAAAAGA